GAAGATACTGAAGAATAAACAGGTTGGTGTTTATTCTTCATTCATCAACAAAATTTCTGTTAGATAATAGTGTAGCTGATCTAAATGTAGCCTATAATGCAAGAAACTGCGGTCACATGACGCGGAGGTTACTGTGTGAGATACACAGCAAAATTATGAGAGTTAATTTATTGGTGTTACTAGTGAGTGTTGAAATTCAGAGTAGTTTTAACACTCTTTTGTAAGATATAACACTGCTGGAGTAAATATAATGAAAGTGTTAGTGTTGTTATTGGCAGTTAGTGTTGCTCAGCTTTAATTAACACTTTACACTGCCGGCCAAGCCACGCCCATTTTCAACTTCGTTCTTGTCTGGACAGCCGCCATGTTGTCAGTTACGATTCGTTCATACAGAGCAGCATGGTAAGTAAACTTTATTTTTGTATTATTTGAACATATCAGTTTAATAAATATTTATATATAAATTTAGGGTGACTTTCATGTAAATTCTGTTGACATATGACTAGTAGTTGCAACTTTTGTGCTGATTCAAGCTGTAAAATCGTGAAGTGATTGCGTAGGTAAAGTTAATTCCTATAATTTGGCGTCAATCTGGTTCTTTTTGTAAGACGAATAAGTTTGAATACACACACACACATTATATATATATATATATATACTGTATATAAGTTATATAGTCTTTGCTCTGGATTTCACGCATAATGGCGCCACGAGTCATCCTCGTGTGAAAAGAGATGGTTTGTAATTTTTAATCTAACTCTGCAGCATTTAAATTGATATATTCTCCTCAACTTTTCATACCAAATTTTTGCAATGTTGTGAGGATTTACTATCACAGTCACATGTGTTTTAGGCGGGAGAGAGAAGCTGAACCCGCAGTTCCGCTCTCTTGCGCGGGCATTTCCTCACATTTTGTCTGGACAACAGCCGTTTTATTGCTTTTCCGTACAGAGAAGCAAGGTAAGTGATTCTTCGAGTTATGTGTTATTTGACCATATCAATTTGATAAGCCTTTATAAATGCATATGCAAAATAATTTTCCTGTAATTTTATTTATAAATGAGTGGTAAGGCTAGCTACAACTTTTGTGGTAAGTTGAGCTGTGAAATAAAACCGGTTGAATGAAGTGATGGCTGAGATAACATTCAATTTCGATAATTTCTAAGATTTTGGCTTCAGTTTGGTTCTATAAGCAAACATGTTTGCACATTTTTGTAATTTATCTTTCAATCTATCTTTCAATCTTCACTATCGTAAATTGGAACAGCTTGATTTTTACCGTAGCCTAACGTTAACGGCGCCGCGAGTCGTCGTCATGGAAGAGCTGGTTTGTTTAAATTTTTCCAAACCTGTGCTAACGTTACTTCAAACCATTTTATAATCATTTCCCACAAAACTTGTAAGTATTTATCAAAAATATTTTTATTGTCGGGGTTTTTAGACAGGAGAGAGAATATGACCCAAAGTTAACTCTCTTTTGCGGACATTTTGTCTCTCACGTGTTTCACGGTTTCATGTGAAGCGTATGGCCATGTGTTTTCGATAAATAAATAAATTGATAACTTTTAGTGATATGATTACTGCTTAAGACTGTGGTTCTTAATCCTGTTAACGTTACTCGTGAGTCGCAACCCCCGCTCTGCACATTTTGAATACAGGGGTTTGTTCTATTCAGCCGTAAGTTAAGTGCCCTACGAAGTGGACTTCACAGGATATTCCGCCACGAATGAATCCAACAAATTTACCAAAATTACATTTATTTTAAATAATTATAATACTTAATGTGGCAATTTTATATAGAAAAATACAACATAAAAAAAACACATTTTCAGTCTTCACTCATCGATTTTAGCTGTAATGGTGCCACGAGTCATCCTCATGTGAAAAGAGATGGTTTTATTCTTTAACTTTTTCAAGTCTAATTCTGAAGCATTTAAATATTGGTTTCAAAGTTGTTGTTGTTGTTTGTTTTTTTTTTTGTTGATTATGCATGTTGTGCTGTGCTTAATCGAGTACTGCTGCTACATTTCAGTAAACATGTTAGTGAAGGTGATTTGCAGAGGAGCACAGAAGTATGTTAAGGTCCCTGAGACTGATGGGGAATTGAACTATCACCAGTTTCACCAGGAAGGTTTGAAGGCTGTTTTGGTAACATATAGAAGTAATAGGGCATATGAGCTTAGGTGCATCATACTGTATTATATAAATTTAATTGTAAATACCATTATTAACTATGTAAACTTTTCTGACTTCATTCTTATCCCAACATAGCTGCAAAAAAATTTGGCCTGCCGACTGATGTAGAGGTGACTTACAAGGATTCATCAGGGACTGAGGTTGATGCTGACATATTCAGTGAACTCCTCCTGCAAGGCAGTGTCACTCTCATAGCCTGTTTGGATGATGGTGTGTTCAGTTTCACTGTAATTCTATAAGTTTTGTTCTAGTGACTGTTCTAGACACATTTTTTCATAAATAAATTATTTGAAGTTAAAGCAAAATTATGTAAACTGCTTAATTTGACCTCATGTGAATTTGTTTTGCCCCAAAATCTAGACACATCTGATGTCTTGACGTCTTCAGAAACATGTTCATCAAATGCATCAGCACAGATTACTGACAATCCCCAGAGAAAGAAAGCAAGGACGACAGATGACTGTACTACTACTGACAAACAAGCAGCAAAAAATGTAAGTTATGTAAATGTTATTAAAAAATTGTTACCTCTTGCCTTGTATACTTATTAGTCATTATCCATGCTTTAAGATAAAGCACAACTATGACCTCTTTAGGTCTGATCATATCACTGCACAGCACTTATAGGCTGCTGGTCTTGTTGCATAGCATTTGCTGTCAAGGACAATTTATTTCTGTCCTTAATATTTTATTATATCTATAGATGCACCAGTCGACCAGCCATAAACCAGACTTTTTTTTTGTTGTTGGCCGTGTTCTGAAAGTACAACCCTGTGCACAAACTACATTTTGTGTGACATTAAAATTACAGTATGTTATTTCAGCAAAGAAAAAAGTTAATTGCACAAAAAGAGCCTCTTTCCTGAGCTTGAAGTACAACACAAGAAGTGTTCAATGTGGACCCACCAAGCGGTTGCCATGCTAACAAGGAATTTTTGCTCGGGGTAGTGATCAAAAAAAAAAATTGTAAAGGCAGTTTCGCAGCAAAAATTGACCCATATATAATAGTTTGGATTGTAAGAATGTACAGGGAGACTTCATTTACAAAAACGATCTTGTTAGCCAATGTTTTCTCAGTAAAGCTGTATAACTTCCTATTAATTTAATATAATGAGTTTTTGTATTAAGTTTTAGTTTTATTTAATTTGAGTTATTTCAGTACTTCAACATACAAAACGGAAATGAAATAATATATATATATATATTGAATGTATTTATATATACAGTATATGTATATGTGTGTGGCTGTACATACACATATGTAGTTGTTTTTTTGGTGTTTGGCTTAGTGTTATGTTAGAATCATTATTATACTCTTATACCTTTTGTTCACTTATAGGCTGCTGGTCTTGTTGCATAGCATTTGCTGTCAAGGACAATTTATTTCTGTCCTTAATATTTTATTATATCTATAGATGCACCAGTCGACCAGCCATAAACCGGACTTTTTTTTTTTTGTTGGCCGTGTTCTGAAAGTACAACCCTGTGCACAAACTACATTTTGTGTGACATTAAAATTACAGTATGTTATTTCAGCAAAGAAAAAAGTTAATTGCACAAAAAGAGCCTCTTTCCTGAGCTTGAAGTACAACACAAGAAGTGTTCAATGTGGACCCACCAAGCGGTTGCCATGCTAACAAGGAATTTTTGCTCGGGGTAGTGATCAAAAAAAAAAATTGTAAAGGCAGTTTCGCAGCAAAAATTGACCCATATATAATAGTTTGGATTGTAAGAATGTACAGGGAGACTTCATTTAGAAAAACGATCTTGTTAGCCAATGTTTTCTCAGTAAGGCTGTATAACTTCCTATTAATTTAATATAATGAGTGAGTATACTACAGAATACTAATATACTGGAGCTGTGGCTTAATTTAGTTGATGTCCTGAGTCATTGCCATATCTTTCATATAGTTGTAACTGAGGGTTTACTCGCACTCTACTACACATTGTGTCCACAGCCCCTTTAGCTGTGACTATATTAATAATACATCAAGGCCTTTTATATTTTTCTGCTTAAATATGTGTGTAAATGTCTGCATTTATATCACACGTATTTCTTCATGTTACAGATGGTCAAAATAGTCCTGAAGTCAAAACCTGGTGGAGACAAAATAATGTTTGAATACGATAAAACCAAAACTTTGGCAGACAGCACCCGCAGACAGTTGGTTAACATGCTCGTTGCCGACATGATTGAAGCTCATGGGTAAGAATTTTAATATAAATGATGGATTATGAATATGGTCTGAGTTAAAAAATAAAATAAAAATTCAAGTACCCTTTTAGACTGGTTTATGTTGAAAGGTTGTCTTGTCCCCAATTCCCTTTGTTTACCTATGTCCCTGCTTTATGACTCAAAACAGACGAACTCCTCCACAAACTGTGCGGACTAAGTATGCACTAGGTATTGTCACTTTGTTTCCTAACCTGGAGGACCCATATTCTAAAAACGGATATGTAAGTGCTTTTTTCAGATTATACAGTTCTAAAAAAAATAATTAACTTTAAAAAAATGTAATTTTTTATATTTTATATTTTATATTTGCCTTCATTTTTTTTTTTTTACTCGTTTACTGGGCTCTTTTTTTTTTTTTTAGGGGCACTTCTACGTAACGGCATTCTGGGTTGAGCGAGTGGCGCTGAGCGTATTGAGCGAGCGGAGCGGAATCTTCAGAAAGGCGCTCTGCGCTCTTAAGGAAATATTACCGCTCCGCTCACATGCTCTGGTTGTTAGGGAAAAAATGAAGATAACATTTCAATACCGACAGGCTATGGTCCATAGTCCAGAGAAGTCTCTAGAAGATTGGACATGTTCCCTAGATTCCTGGACACACCTGGCCTTGTAAGTATAAATCGTAGTCTGTTTAATATTGTGTCCTCTACCTCAAGTTTTATAAGTGTTTGTTCTGTTTGTT